TATTCAGCTTTGGCTCCCTTTGTTTTCTAATATCTAATCATACTTGCCTTTCCCCAGTTTAGACCATGTTCTAAAATTGGCTACAGAATTTTTGCTTATTCTCTGCTCCCTCTTCATTCCCTGTCCTTGAAGAAAGTGAATCCAAATCTTCTACCCTTGAGTGTTGAATAGCTTTAAATGACTTTCTAAACTAACAGTGTGCGGCAAAAGTTAAATCATGCAATTCCTAAAGCCAGATCAGAAGGCTTTTAGTTTTAAAGTTGGTCTCCAAGAATGCATCTCTAGAAACCCAGAGCCCTCCTATAGGAGTTTTATCTCCTTAGACTGCTATGTTGTTGAAGCCACAGACAGAAGCCTTCTCCTAGTTCACTGAAACCTTGCAGCTATCCTACCACAGTGCAAGACCTGTGACCAAAGGTATGTTGGCTTCTCCCAGTGGATTCTTTCTTCTACCTTAATACCACCTGGACTTTTCAAAGGATCTATCAAAGCGATGAAGAAGTTATCCAACTGAGCCTCATAAAAATTTCAGATCCAGAAGAATCTTGAAATATGATAATATGGTTGCTTCTTCCAGTGTTAAATTTTAGAATGTTTTAGTATGGGTCTTCCCATCAAAGGGCCTTTACATGTGCTTCTCTCTGAAAAATTTTTCCCATTCTCCTGCCCAACTATTCCTTTCTTATCTTTCAGCTTAACTCTTCCCAAAAGAGCTCTTCAGACTGGTTCGACTAAATGTTTAAAATATCAGTTGGTGACTGTGTCAGTTTCTTCTTTATTTCCTTATAAATGTTTAAGAAGTAAATAGTCATCACAGCTAATATTAATCTTCTCACCCCTATAGGCAGGCAGTTGGCAAATTATAGTGTAGAGCCTGGTCCCCTTCCATGATGGATTTACAGAGTGCCTCATCCACTGTTGTGGCATTCCACACAGTGTTGCTTCTGATTCAGGAACATACTTTATGGATAAATAAGGGTGGCTATGGGCTCATTCTCATGGATTTCAAAGGTCTCACCAATTTTCCTATCCTGCAGAAGCTGCTGGATTGGTACAAAACTGAAATGGCCTTTTGAATATACAATTATATCACCAGGTAGAAGCCAATAACATGCAGGGCAAATTTCTCTAGAAGACTGGCTCTTAATCCTCTAAAATCAGGAAGAAAACAAGGATGCCCACTGCTTCTATTCAACCTAGTCCTGAAAGTCTTACCCTCAGCAAATAAGAGAAAAAAATTCTCTTGATTTGGACAGGAAAAAGCCAAACTGTCCTTGATTGTAAAAGACATATTATATATAGAAAACCCTAAAGATTTCACCAAATAAAACTAATGAAAAAATTCAGTACATTTGGCAGATACAATGTCAACATGCAAAATTAGTAGCATTTCTATGTACTATCAACAAAATATCACAAAGAATTGAAAATAACTCCACTTACAGTAGCTATAAAAATTAAATCTTTAGAAATAAATTTAACCAAGGAGATGAACAATTTGTATCTTGAACACTCTGGAACATTCTTGAACATAATTGAAGAAGGTACACATAAATAAAGGAATTAGGTCCCATGTAGTTCACAGAATAAAAGAATTAATTTAATTAAATATCCATAAAACTGAAGATGAAAATAAGTCCAGAATATTAATTATCTGACCTTATAAGAAAGTACTTGTTGAAACTGTTCTAGTGTTTTGAAGGGCAAGGGCTTTGGCTCTCAATACTTTTTATGGTACCTGGCACTCAGTAGGTACATAACCAATACCTGCTGAAAGCGCTGGAAAGGATCAAGGTCCAGATTTCAGCTTCCCCTCCCTAGGGGGCTATTTGTGGCAGGCAGGGTGAGGGACTGAGTCAATGCCCACTTGACTCTCCAGAGACTAAGTCAGCTCAAGGTCAACATTTTGGACCAGAAGCACCAGGACTCACAGGTCTCAGGTCCAAGCTCAGCCCAAGAAAACCATACTACATCCTGACCTTTATGCTGTTTTAGAGGGGGAAAAAAGCTAGGGGACAACTCTTTTGGTCAATACTTTCTCTCACTTTCAGGAGCCCACCATTTTGGTCAACACTCAGATAAGAATGAAAGCACTCTTAGGTTACATAGGGTCCATAGCCCCTGTCCTCCCCAACAATCATGGATTAGCCCCACCCCGGAGAATAGCCATGTGGAATGGGGGAAAGATGCTCCTCTGCTTCAGAAGCTACTCCTTAGAGAGGAAAGGAAGGAAGTCATATTAGTTAAGGTTTTCTAAAGGAATAGATTCAATACAAAATATGTATACAATTATACAGAGATTTGTAAGATAGGTTCATATGATCAGAATGTGAATATTCCATGTGGCTGGCTGTCGTATCAGAGATGGGGGAATCCAAGATGGCTGTGTGGATGCTGGACAGCCCAAGTGTCCAGTAGCACCTGGAGTTTGAAGGCCTGGAAGCTCCCAATTACATAAAATGTGTAACATTTCCATTTGATGCTGAATTGTTGATGTACACCCACAATTTTATGACTGAGGGGGTCACATAGCACCTGGTAACCTAGTGTCCTGTGATCAAGCATCATTCTCCACAAAGTCCAGATCACAGGCCAGAAGCTGTTCTCAAAGGGAAAGCAGTTATCTGCAGATAACAGCAACCTGAACCGATTGCAGAATCTTCTCTCGCTCAGGCCCCACTCAAGACTAGTGGCTTTCTGAGTCTCTTGGTAAATGTGCTGGAGCAACACACCAAGTGACAAATGTGCTTCCAAAGTCTTAATGGGCTCACAAGGCACTATGTCTCTCTTTTGGTTATAGAAAGGGCCATATGCAGCCATTTATTCTTCACCTCAGGAAAGGTACTGTATGCCCTGTCATCCCTGGACTTCTACAAATTTCACCAAGGTGGAGGGGCTTTTAATTTTAGTTGAATTTGCATTCCCAAGGACACATAAACGTTTTCTCAACATGGTCATACTCTTTGCATAATTAGCATAATGTCATCAATATAACACACCAGTGTGATACCTTGTGTTAAACAAAGGTGATCAAGGTTGTGTGAACTAAGTTGTAACACAGGACTAGATTGTTAATATGCCCCTGAAGTAGGACAGGAATGGTGTATTGCCTGCCTGGCCATCTTAAAGCAAATTGCTTTTGGTGGACAATATGGACAGGTATAAAGAGATATTCACTAAGTCAGTAGTTGCGTGCATGTCATGTACCAGATGCCACGACTGTGTTAATATGGTCAGACAAAGGTAACAAATAACCAAATCAGGTACAGCAGTTGCAAATTGAAGTCACTACTTGATTAACCTGACTGTAATTCACCACATTCTCCAAAATCTGCTTATCTTCTGCACAGGCCAAATAGAAAAGTTCCAAAAGGATGTGATGGGAACCATCACCCCTGCATCACTCGTCCTGTTTGTGACACTTAAATCAGAAGTCCTTCCAGCAGTGTGATATTGTCTTAGATTCACTACTTTCCCAAGTAGAGGCAATTCTAAGGATTTCCATTTGGCCTTTCCCACCATAGTAGCCCTCACACTACAGGTTAGAGAAGCTATATCTGGAATGAGAGAAATGACCACAGGATGGATTTAGGGACATCCTAGACCCGCTATGAGTTTAACATTTGGCCTAAATTCTACTGATTACTTGATCACCTTATACTCCTCATTTTATTGGAGGTTCATGTTTTAATTTCTTATATCAACTGTAGTTCAGAACCAGTGTCCAGTAGTCCCCAAAATGTCTGATCATTTTCATTTGCAAAATGTATAGTTACAAGGTCCTTTGATCTCTTTGGGCAAGGATGAAAGAAAGTTTCACTGTAACTTTTTGGTAGTGCACCAGGATTTTTTCCTCTAGGGAACATATCTTCTCCTTCATCCAATGAGCTCTAAATCTTTAAATTGATTCAAATCTGAGAATTTGATGAGGTGCCATAATTCTCAGCTGGTATAGTTCAGAGTAGATTTTTCTTCATTTACCCTAAAACTTTTCTGCAAAAGTTATATGCTTTCTGCCACTGTAAGACACAAGAATCCAGAATGTCTACCTGCATGCTAGAGGATGCAGTAGTAGTCCAAGTTGAAGGCTGCAGACTTACTGCTGAAACATTACCACAGAATTCTAAGGAAGTTAGAAGTCTGAAGTCTACATTGGAAGCCTGAAGGAACTAGAGACCAACATCCAAAGGCAGTGGTAAAGATGAGAATGAAGGAAACACTTCCTCCTTCTTTCCCTTTTTATTCTGTCCAAGCTACAAGCTTAATGGTTAGTTCTACCCTCATCTGGAATGGGTCTGTCCTACATGTCACTCATCCACACAGATATAAAGAATTACTAATCTTCTAGGTGGTTCTTACTCAAGTCAAGTTGGCAAATCACCATTAAAAATATCATAGAGGGATGGTGTCAGTCACAAATGCACTTCCAGGTTAAAGTGGACATGAGTCAGTGTGTATCACATATACAGGGAGGAGGCTTATGGAGAATCTACTAGGGTTTCTGGGATGTTTGTGCAACTGGTACCAGAAACTGGGAGAGCCCTTTGCTGAAAATGTATTACAGTGCATAAGCTTTTCTATTGCTGGACAATATACTTAATACCACTACTTAAACAAGAGAGGCTCATTTGTGCTGAGGGCTTCATGGGCTTCAGTATGTACTCAGCTGGTTCCAAGGCAAAGCCATGGACAGGAATGGGGAGCAAAGTAGCTTCATTCATGGGGTAGAAAGCTACTTGGTTCATGACCGGGCAGGGAAACAGAGAAGAGGCCAGGGACCATACACAGCACTCACAGTCACACCTCCATAATCCATTCAGACAACTCAAAAGTGTGTTTTGCAATTCTATTAGGCTTTTCTTATTCCAATCAAGTTGACATGTCAGGATTAACTATCACACAAATACATCTTCTTTTAATCTGGTGTGATCTATCATCTCTCAGGCCCAGAAAACATTGACTTTTCCCTTCCCCCAGTGTCAAAGCCCATATCTCAAGTTCTATGAGTTTAAAGAAGGTTGGCTTAATGGACATTTTTTACAACTCAAGACAGAACCAGGTTCCAAGAGTCCCAAGTCCTGGAGGGCTTCCAGTAGCTGCTCCCGGGCAGCACCAATAAAAGAATTTTCCAGGAAGGCTGGAAGGCCTCCCATACCATCCCGCAAGGTGTACAGGGGCACCCGCACCAGGCCCAGCACCTGTGGAGGGAAGGAGTCAGAATGCACTTTTTTTCTAGCGAGATCTTTCAAGAGCAGAGGGTTACCCCCTAACACAACAGCAGAACTCTCCCCAAGGGTCAAACCTCACCAGGGCTAACAGGCCCAACCTTGTACAGGTAAATGACCAGAACATGCTTTCTAGTTTCATAAGTACTGGATCTACATCACTCCTTAAACCTGTGGAGCCCCTGCCTCCAGGATGCAGGAAGGGCCCCAGTTCATACCAAACAAATCAGTACCACTTGGAAATGCATGGAAAATGGAAATTCTCAGTTCTTCCTCCCATCCTGTTCCCCTACCAGTAACTGTAGGTAGGGTCACATATGCTAAAATTTTAGCATATGTGATACCAAAGGGAGCAGAGCAATAGTTGTTTTATAAGTCACTCCCTCACCAGTGACTCCATACTTGCCAAAGTTTGGGAACCACCTCCACACCCAATCTGTCTTCCTACTTCCCCTAGCTGTAAGTATCAGGGATATATTTTCTACTTCAGAATAATAAGGACCCAAAATGAAGGGCACAGGTTTTCATGCCTGACCATTCTGACATTATCAATAGGGAAGAATGGAAAGCCTAGGTGAATGTGTACTAGAAAAGACTCTAGGGCCAGTAGGGAGGAGAGGACTTCCCAGGAAGACCATGGGCACTAGCACTACTGTCCAGACTGAACATGACCAAGACCCTAACTATGCCTGGAAACTGGGGAAGACTTCAAGGTAATAGGGGGCTATGTCCTCCTTCTAAGGAACTTAGCTAGGGAGGTTTCCCTGGGGAGGAAACCCACGGGGTAAATGGGAGCCGGAGTGAGGGGTGGGTTCCTGGTTGGCCCCACCTCCAGCCCATGGTCCTTGGCTCTTGGTGCTCCGGCCTCCACAGCTTCCAGCTGCTCTAGCGTCAGTTGTTTAGCATAGAAGTGCGCCAGAACATGTGAGGTGTCCCCTGCACGTGAGCTGCGGTATTCTGTGCGCCCCACACTGAAAGCGGAGACAGCCTCGCCCAGCTTGCCCAGCAGCTCTCTGTTGAGTCCGTCCTCCAGGCTGTCTTTAGAGTCCACGAAGCCGCCTGGGAAGCCCAGGCGCCCATCAAAGCGCATCTGCATCTGCGTGAGAGGGAGAAGGGGTTGGCTGGGTGCCCAAGCAATGAGGCCCAGGATGAGGGTGAGGCCAGGGTAGGGAGTGGCCAGGGGCGCCCTTTCCTCACCAGCACTGCGTACCGCAGCGGAATGCGGCCGAAGAGCATCCCCGGGTCAGGCGCATAGAGCAGGACAAAACAGAAGTGCTTCCACTCCTGTCCTAAGGCCAAGGCCTCGGCCAGCTCTAGCTTGCGAGACCCTGACATGGCCTAAGGTTTTCCTTGGTTGTGTGGTCAGCCCACCTGGTTAGGTGGGCGAGGCTTACCCACACCGTTATGACAGTGGGCGGGTCCGCTAGAGCCAATCCTGGCCGCCAGGAGGTCGGAGTAGTAGCCAATCAGGGTGGCGCTCTCAGGAGGCGAGCCAAGGCACCCTTAGGAAAATGAAAGCTTTCTTGGAATTGGGCCTCGAGCCGGGACGAAGCTGAAGGAGTGGCAGATGCTGTGAACCCACTACTCAGGGTAAACGCTTAAGTCATAATCTGCAGCCAGAGGAATTCTTGCGAGGTCTAGAGAGCTAGAAAGCTCACTATAGTCCAAACAGATTTAATTACTAAGGAGTTCTGGCAGGTGGAGGAACAACAGTAGAGAACTTCCTGAGGTTTAGTAAGGAGGATAGTTTTGGAGCTGGGTTAGGGAGGAATGTAGCAGGGCTGGCTTTGGAGATCATAGCCTATCCTAAGGTAGTGGGGGTGGAGAGATGGAACGAGTGTAAGAATTCATTTGAGCTGTGATTCAGTGAGTGAAATTTTGGGGCATGCTGGGCAAATAGTAAATTACAGTTAATAATATTGGCTGGGAGTTGCTAATTTGTATAGTTATATGGTAGATCCATTAGGATCTCATTGTTGTTCCTCATATGGTTTGATGTTTTCCCATAGCAAACAGCAGGAAAAATACAGAGCTCTTTGGCCTCTCCTGTACTTCAAGATAAAGATTACAATTTAATTTGAATAAAGCATTGTGTTTCACAAAACCACTTTACAGAGAGGGTCCCTCTTGGTCTAGAATGAGAAAAAAGAGGTATGGAATTAATATAATATTTTTAAGGCAGCTATGACCAACATATACCATCTGTCAGGTAATTTTAAGTCATTCCACTTAATCCTCATGAGAGTTTCTAGGTGATTCAAATGGAGCTGTAGTTGAGAACCTGACTTAGAAGAACATATGAAGGACAAGAGAGGCATAGGTGTACCAGCTAAGAGCCAGTGGGGTTTATCCAGCAGGACTTCCTGAAAGGGTGAGATGACACTGCTTATTATTTTATCATACCTCCAGTCACATCCAGTTGCCTCAAACTTGCATCTTCAGAATCCACCCATTTCCGGTTGTTTTCAGCTACAGATTCAAAAATGTCCACTGCTGAATTGTCTGGAGCCCACAAAGGAGCAAAACTTAGCAGACATTTCAGGCTTGGGCCCAGACCTCTGCCCTCAAGCACACAACCAGTACTTCCAATTCAATATAGAAGGAATGCATTTAGTACACTCTTCATGTTCCAATCCGCACCTCCTCTGTGCCACCCATCTTCCAGTCAGTCACCATTTCTGGGAACTTAGACATCCTCCCAGACAATAACTCCACCCTCCTCATTTCTCATCTCAGTTGTGTGAATTCCCTGTAATTGTCTTTACTCAGAACAGCCTAACTTATCAGATGAGGCTCAGACTTTCCTCTTTGCTCACCCAGACCACACCTTCCACCTGTCTCCCTCTTGTGCCTCCAGGTCACCCTTTCTGTGGCATCATGAACGCAGCTGAGAATCATACCTATCAATACCTGTATAGTGGCCTCCCCTAACTTAGGTCTGAGCTTTTCTTTCTGTATGGTGAGTTATTGCTGATAGACACTGTGGTGAGAACACTATAAACATTTACTATGTCACAGTTATCTAGGCCAGGAAGGAAGGCATGGTTTATCTGGATGTTTCTGACTTAGGTTTTCCCAGGAAGTTGTAATGCAGATGCCAGTCAGGTTTGCAGTCAAATGAAGGCTTGAGTAGAACTGGAAATTCTCTTTCGCTGGCAAGATCATGCTAGCTGTGGGCAAAAGGCCTCAGTTTCACACTGTATAGCTCTCTCCATCTGTGGTTGGAATGTGTTCATGTGGTGGTGGCTTCTCCAACACATACCCAAGACAGCGTCTGTGTCTTCAGTCTGCCATATGGCATCACTTCTACAACACTCGACTGGTCGTACAGGCTGCCCATGGTGCAATGTAAGGAGGCCCGCACAAGCTTGAGCTTGTGTGCAGAAAGTCCCCTGGGGGTCATCTTTAGAAATGTATTTAATACAAGGTTTACCAGGTCTCACTACACAGATGGGACTCATAGTGACTCTCCTGCTTTCAGCCTCCCAAGCGCTGGAATTACAGGCACATACCACCACGTCCGGTCTCAGTTGCTGTCTCAGTGCACCCCGGATGGAGGGCTGGCATGGCACACTGGGGATCAAACCCTGGTCCCTGTGCCTGCCTAAGCAGGTGCTTTAGTTGCTGAGCTATCTGGCCAGCCCTACCGAGGGTCATCGTGAAGGTTGGTTACCACCTCTTCTTCTAAATCTGCCAATAATCACTGTCACATTGTATGTGCCATCAGCCATAAAAGATTCAAGTTTCCAGAACCTCACAGGAGTAAATCCATTTTTGTATTTTTTTGTATACCTGTAAGTTTTTCCTTTTTATTTGGTAAATTCTTATTCAAAATTTTGTGCCTGTACTTAGTGCCTGGTACCACTTAGTACAAGTTGAGCTGAAATCTAAAAAATTATCTGCTGCAGAAGTAGCCTTGGTTTGCTCTTGATCCAGGTCTCTCATCCTTCTAGTGCAGAAAAACATGCCCACCTGCACTAACACATTTCCAACTCCAGAGTACAGCAGCACTCCCTGGTCAATCTACACGAAGGAGTCTGGAAATACTCAGAACAACTATGAAGTCACAAGGCAACAGTCAGGGGTACAGGAAGGAGTGAACTGTGTCAGAATATTCAATCTATCAAAGCAGGAAAAAGTCACAATATTTTGGAAAGATAAAAATGTTTCTAGCTGTTGAAAGATTCCTTCCAAACTTCTGCATCTCCTTTGAAAATATTCCCTTTGGCGTCAAGTTTTTGGTGCTGTCACAGTTTTCTTTCTGTTGCTATAACTGAATATCACAGACTGGGTAAATTAAAAAGAGAAATATTTATTCAAAGAGTGGTCCTCATGGAGTCAGATGGGGGCATAATCTGCAGAGTCCCAAGGTGGCACAGGACATCACATGGAGAGAGGAGCATCTATAAGAAAGCCAAAGCTGTCTTTTATAGCAAGCCCTCCCTAGGGATAACCAACTGAGCCATTAATTCATGAGCTCATCTTCCATGGTGGCAGGGCACTCATTGCTAGTCACAACTTAAAGGTCCCAGCTGGCCCCACCTCTTACTACCTCATAATAGGGATTAAACCTCACTGTGAGTTCCAGGAGTGTCATTCAAACCATAACCCTATGTACATCACAATGGCTGTGCTACTCCTCCTGAGTATTTACACATATAATATTCTATCATCTATGTTTGTTAAGCCACATTTATGAACTTCTTTTTGAAATTAAGGGAGCACCAAGCCTCCTTAGGGTTCTGGTGATGACTATTTTGTAGCCATGCAGACAGGTGCAGGAAGTGCAGGAGGGGTTGAGTGCTGGCCTGACCAACCAGGTAATTGCCTATTCAGAGCTGCTTGCTACATGGTGCTCTCAGCTTTCAGCTGGCCCCTGGATGATCTCTAGTCAAGTATTAGCTGAAAATATCTAAATATATAAAGCTGGAATATCTAAAATATCAAGGTATTTATATGTTAGGAGGCATTTAGGTAGCAATAGTTGAACATAGAAGCTTAAGGAGGTGTTCAATGATAGAGTTCTAATGATGGAAGATCATGAAGCCTGACAATAAAGTGAATTGTGGGGAGTAGCTGAGCTGGAGATTAACCACACATTTAGGGCTACAGCAAGGCCAGCCCCAAGAACATGGAGGGCCAGAGGTGAGCACAGCCACGTGAACACGTTGTTGGGACTACAGCAAAGCCAGTCCCAGGGACACTGAGCAAGCAAGCTAAGCTCTAGCTCAGTGGCACACTGGCAGGTGCCCAGCCTTGGCATTCCTCCCCGTTAACTATGTCACTGATAGCTCTGAAAATGTCCCACTTTCCATGTTCTCAGTGAAACCTTGAGACCTTGCACTTTTGGCTCTGTCATGTGCTTTTCCTCTTTTTACTGCATATAAAGATGCAGCCTGTGCTAGGTTGTTGCTACCTTTCCATCAGAGTTACATCCTACCCCCTTTTATTGTGTCTTGTCTTGTCTTAATCTTCCGTTGCCCCCCTCTTAGGACCCCACAGGCCTCACAGGTTGTGGCCGTGTATGTTACCTCCTCCAAAATTGAGTACCGCGTGTAGAGTACTTATACACATTAGGTTATCATGATGGCAATTTCCCATGACCAACCAGTTACATTATCTACATTCTTTGCAGCAGTTAGATGTAGGCAGGAAACAGACTCAGAGAAAATGATTTGCTCTACATCACACTAAATGGCAAGAGTAGGGCCTGAGTCCAAGTCATTTAGTATTGCTCAAGGTTTTTTTTCCCTTTGAGCAGATTGTAGTGGAAGGATTTTAAAAGATTTTTTTTAATTTGTGTCTACCCAGTTTCCTCTTTTTTCCTCCTACCCCCTCCCCATTTATTTCTCTTTGCTTCCCTTCTCCTTTATTTTTCTGGTGGCCTGACTCTTTCTCTTTCTGACACAACAGTTAGTAATCCTATCATTTTTAAAAAGGACCATGGTGTTCCATCACCATTGAGCTACAGCTTAATTTGACAGCTTCCTTTATCCTGAGCCCGCTGTGATGGTTCAACTCTTTTATAATAGACCCACAGCTCTGTGCCAGTTTCACCCCAAAGACTATTAAATAATTAACTTCCATTACTCTCCTTTGTGTGTTTTATCTCTACATCACCCAAATAGCTGGTGGCATTTCTTTTGCATAAATAGAAAGCAGAAAGGTATATATATATATATATATATAACCAAGCAACTTCCTAGTTGTTTAACTCCTCAGCCAAATTTTCCTGCTATCTTGCATTTTGGTTAGTTATTAATTCCAACTCTGAAGTAGACTAAAATGAATTTCCCTAAACACAATCACAAAGACATGTATTCCATAAGTCCTTTTCAATCTTGTTCCCCACCCTACCTCAGTGAATCACAAGAAAGGTAAACTCGAACGAGCTTCTCTTAAAAGGCATGAAACCATGATCCAAAATAGGATTTTCCCACCTCCTTTTTCTTATAAGCGTGATGTGGTAGACAGCAAAAATCCCTGGATGATAAGATATTTTCAGTCTGCACCTGAAAATGCAGAGCATTGTCTTCTGGGCATGTTAATCTGTTTTGAGAGATGTTAGAGACTCTGAACATCTACTAATTTCATCTTCACACCCAGCAGCTCACACAAGCATTCTTCTGTTCTCATGTTATAAATGCCATCACCAGGAAAACTTAGAAGCTTCTATTAATTTGGGCTTTAGGAGAGTCTGCCTTCTTCCAGACTTATTTGCAATCTTGTTGGTCATGAAAGGGTATGGGGGCTCCATGGTACTTTTCCTGGAGCAAGGTCAATTTCTCCTTAATGCACACATTCCCACTCCTCTGGGTAACAATTATCATTAGATAGATATGTTACACTTATCTAGATGCTTTCACATAACAGGAAAAGAAAATAGATAATTTATTTTATATCAATGAAATATATATTTATTCTGAATAAAACCCTTTAGTGCTTCATGAATGAGTCTGGACAATAAATTACAGAAAGGAATCACTTTTAAAAATTTTAATCCAGGTTCTTATATTTAGGTACTTCTTGCTGGTTAGTCATGACAGAGAAAAAGTGTACAAAAACCAGCTTACCCAAGAGAGGCATACCTCAGTCCTAGCCAGCTCAGCTTGTCAGAGGTCAGTGTCCAGTGATCTTCACAAAAAAAAAAAAAAAAAAAAAAAACTGGCTACAGTTCCCATAGACTTCAGGTGGTTAACACTGACCTCTGTCATTCAATTGGAAGTAATAAAGGGTATCTGGCTCCTTTCTCTGAGGCCACCAACAGGATGGTTCAACCCAGTTGGAAGCCCTGAAGGCACATGATGGAGATCCTTTTCAGCACATGAAATTTGATCTCAAGGTTATTGCAGAATAAATCAAACAACACCTAATGGCCAGTACCTCCAAGCATAGGCCACTACATTTATTACTGCCCCAAGGAGTCATTACTTCTGGCAAAGAACTGATAAAGACAGTAGCTATAATCATATACCCCTTTTCCGTCATAAAGACCGGCTTATATGTTTCATGGATTTCCACTGAAATTTGTCCACTTGAACTTCTGCTTGTTTTTGACATTCTCTAGTAAAGGTTCATTCTGGAGTGGGGTCTCCTCTCCTACTGCAATCAGCAACTGCTCTTCAAAGTAGAGGAGTTGGTCAACTTCAAAGCAATCACTGGCCCGAGGTACCACTTTTTCGAGACCCTCCCGGATCTCTGTTTCACTGGCATTCTGATGTCTTGCTCTCTTGAGGTAATTATAGACTTCATCAAATACTTTCTCTCCCAGCTTTTGCAAGGCTAATCTGCAAAAAAAAAAAAGATCAGGAATTATCAAGAGCTATACATGGACAGTGTCTTCAAGAAAATGTGTTTTCAAATTACTGATTGTAGAAAAAGCATCCTTGCCCTGAGACTTAGGGGGAAAAAAACAATAAGGCAATAGTATCTCATCCTAAACATCAAAAATTATTCAACAACTTGAGTGCCAGTCATGTTGCAAGTTCTTGTTGTGTCTGTGTGTGTCCTCTTCTCACCACTATAATGAAATTCCTGAGGTAAATAAGGAATAAGGTAAAGATAGATTTATTTAGCTCACAGTTTTGGAGGCATTCAGTCCAAATGTGTGCTGAGGGCTGCCTCTAGACTACATGGTCATGGTCATAACCAGGGCAATAGTGGTGGAAATGGTGTGAGAGCAAGAAATTACATCTACAACCTCAAAACAGAAGAGAATGGGCTTTCTCAAGAAAGCTGAAGGGATCATACATAAATTTCCTTATGATAAAAAAAATAAATTTCCTTATGCCCTCAGGACCTCAGGACCTCTCTAGAAGTTCTACCTCCTCCAACAGCACCATGCCTTGAACTACATTGGACCTGTCAGGAATCCAGATCATATTTCACCATCACACACACACACATACACATACATGCATGTATGTGCATAGATAGATAGATAGATAGATAGATAGATAGATAGATAGATACACACATACATAATAAGATATTAGGTGGTGCTGAAATAAAGAGGATGGGAAGATAGGGAAATCTCCAGGAGGAGGAGGAGGAGGAGGAAGCATCCTTTGAACAGAAACTCTTTGAAGTAGGGGAAATGGAAAACACAAGAGGTATGAGAATTTGGGCTCTGGAACTAAAACAGGGAAATATCAAGGCTAGGATGGCTACTATTAGAGAAAAGAGAGGAGGAGATGGTGGATTCGAAAGTAAAAGCTGATAAAATAATAAAGGAAAAGAAAAGAAAAATGAGGAGAAGAAGAGTGGCTTTCCTGATCATTCACCCGGCACTTTGCTACCCATTTAATTCTTAAAAACTTACTGAACTTTTACAACTGCCTTATGAGTGAGGCATTTCTCTAAATCCCTATTTTACAGAAGTAACTGAGATTCAAAGGGCTAAGATGACTTGCCCAAGTTCTCACCAAGGCCAGAATTCTGTTTTTCAAACCTATCGCCATCTTTTTCTGTACACAGATGCAATCTTTGCAATTTTATCATACTGCAGTACCTCGTATGTTTATCGTATGACCATCTTCCTCTAACTCCAGAAAGAGCCACAAACTAAGACCAGATAAGCAAAACTTGGCGCATGATACCTTTTGTTTAGTCAATATGATACCTTATTTTCTTTTACTATTTTTAACATTTTAATATTATCTAAACACTTACCCAATCATGTCTCCACAAAATGTTTACATTTCTTTTTCTGCCCCTTTTCATTATAGCATGGTGTGAGCATCTTTAGGCATGTAGTTCTTCCACTTAGGGGGATATTTTCTGGCATTAGATTTTTCAGGAGCATAGATGATTATATTAGTATATTCCTGCTGTAACAAGGTACGTGTACCCTTGTCCTATCTGTGCTTTTCTGTTCATGTGCTTGACTAAAAATGAGCCACATGTGGGGGCACATGTGGGAAGTCCAAGACTGGAGGAGGAAGTGGAGGATAGAGGAGGAGGAGGAGCAGGAGCACTTGAGCTCCCAACTTTGTACCCATTCTGGGGAATACAGTGAGATTTTCTAACAGAAGAATAGATAATAGATGATCGATAGATAGGGGATTAATAAGTCAAAATGTATTGATATTTTTATGACTTTGACCTTGAAGAAATAGTTCTATACTCTTCATTTCAATGGATTTGGTAAAAAGAAAAAAACAGAATTCTTTCTTCCACAAGTTTAAAGCATTAATGCTAACCAATCATGTTGGAGGTGTTGACAGGAAAGCTCTTTCCTTCCTTTTATTAGTTTTAATGGTTCAGTGCTGCTCAAACATATAATCTCTAAAACACAACCTCTAGGCGACCTCTGGTTAGGTATTGTGACACATGAAAAGAATAAGTAATTATTTCCTGCTCTGCTCTAGAGGCTAGTAATTACAATGCAAGATATACAAATCTTAAACATTACCTAACATTTCTTCTGAACTTCAGAGCTGGCAAAATGCTTTAACATTCATTATCTTAAATAATTCTGCGAACCAGGGAATTCGTTGAACATCTGTCTGCATTATTCAGATGAGGCTAAGTAGGTTTTAGTGGGTTTTCACAAGCTCACATGTGTGGTAAAATTTATACGCAATTGTAAACATCAGAACCCCAAGTGCTGGAGAGGCAAGCAGCCTCAGCCCCCACCATCCAACTTGTATGGGCTTCCCACTTTCTGTTGTGAGATTATCAGACTGACCTCAGCGTCCCTGAGAGCCCAACACCAATCAAAATCTTCCTTTTGTTGACATTTATCAAACCTGGCTTGCTCCCCTTATTCATTGATGACTTTAGCAATGACAGCATTCTCTTACTTCCTCCTTCTGTTCTGTCACCATCCTTGACCTCATGATTCTTGGTCTCTCTGGTTTCAGACTGAGCATATTCTCTGCCTACTGCAGAGGCATGTTATGGTCATCATATCCTTGACCTCATCAGCCTGAATGACTCTCTCTCTCTCTGACTTCAGTTTTGCTACTCTTTAATCAGTCCTTTATACCCTTCCACCACACCTACTCTTCTAAAATTATTCCAGGCAGTTTTCCACTTCATGGTGACTTCAGTGCTTTGACCTTATCAGAATGATAATAATCACTTATTCCCCTTATGTCCTCTGTCCTCATTTCCTACTTTCTCCCAAGTTACATTTCATTATCATGTTACAAATACTCTTGGACTTTCTCATCACCTCACCTTTGTCTGACAAGGCCCTAATGATTAAACCTAATCATAACCTACTCTATGCTTCTTCCACGGACAAAAGTATCCAACTATACCAATAGACCTCATGTGAATTGGTGATCAGAATTCAAATTAGTGCTCAGTATTACCCGGCCATCCTACTACATTTCTCTTAAGACATTTTTCATATTTTATGCTTTAACTTTCTTAAGCTCTCACCCCTGCTCCCAAATGATAACTATATCTGATATCAGAAAAGCAGAAGTGATCCAATAAATACTTTCCCAGCAGTGAAATCCTATAGCTGCCTGTTTCAATGGCACACATTTGTCTCTTCTCCAGTTGCTAATGTAGGGACTACTTCTACTTCTGTCATAGGCCCAACTCCACCTGAGTTCTCTGGATCTTGGCCTCTGTCACCTTTGCAGTGACTTTGTCTCCTGTGTTATCATTTTCCCTTCCCTAATAATCTCCTTCTACCTTTGTAGATTATTCCTGTCAGGAGACTACTCAGCCTATGACATCCTATCCCAGACAATAAGCCTTCCCGGCATCTACATCACCCCTGCTCACAATTCCTCAACCCATCCTTTGATCTCTGTTTCTAATGAACTTCCTAAAAGTCATGGACAGTTGCTGTTTCTACTTCTGCACTACACAGTCAATCCACTCATCTTGTGGCTGGTCCTCAGTAATTCATGCAGTGATATCAGTTACCTCCAGATGGCCAACTCCCGTGTGTGTGTGTGTGTGTGTGTGTGTGTGTGTGTGTGTGTGTGTGTGTCTATGCTCTATTCTTTAGTTGAGATAAAATTCACTTGATATAAAATTAATCATTTTAAAGCAGAAAGTGCAGTGTCCTTTGTGCATTCAGAGGAAGTACAGCTACCTCCTTTACCTAGGTCCAAAACATCACCGTAATCACAATAGGAGAACCCATATCTGTTAAAGTACTCTTTTATCCCCTTTCCCCACCCCCTGGAAACCACTGCCTTACATTATGTCTCTTGTGACTGGTCCTCGGTATTCATGCAGTGACATCAGCTGGAGATGTCATATACTGTAAATAGAATCATGTAATACATGGCACTTTTGTGTGTGAGTTCTTTCACTTAGCCAGTATTTTGGAGGTGTATCTGTGTGTTAGCTTTTTGTTGCTGTGACATAAAAAACTTCAAGGAGAAAACATTTATTTTAGCTCATGGTTTGAAAGGTTTCAGTCCATAGCTGGCCAGTTCTGTTGCTCTAGTGTACAAACATCATGGCGGAAGAACAAGGACATGGAAGCTGCCATCGCACATGCACTGAGAGAAGCAGACAGGTGAGAGAGGCATGGGGAAGGGGGCAGGAACCAGATAGAGGCCCCATGGTCCACTCCTGTGAGCTGGGCTCCACCCCCTGCTCTCATCGCCTGCTGCTAATGTCATCCATTATAATCTTACCAGTGCGTCAAACCACTGATGAAGTGACAGCCTACATGGTCCAACAACTCCTCACTGGTCTATGAGTAACCGAGCCTTCAACACAATAAGCCCTCCAGGGTGATACCTTGGATCTCAGCCATGACAATCTGTGTTGTAACACATATCAGTGTTTCATTACACTTTGTGGCTGACCAATATTACATTGCGCGGACTGCAGTAGTTTATCCATCACCTATTGATGTTTATCCATTCAACCCCAGTTGCTCTGCCTCCTTGAAACCCTTCCTCTGTTTCATTTGATGCCCTCACCTTCTCCAGGCCTTTATCCTATCATACAGGCTCCTCATTCTTAGCCTCCCTGTGACTCCCCTTTCTCCCCTCCTTGGCCTCTCTACCTATGAATGCCTTTAAGCTTGGTCTCAGTCCTTTTTTCCCCCTCTTCACTCTGCCTATGTGAAAAGTCTCAGGCCCTTAACACAGTCCCCATGCTGAGGATTTCCTGACTCTCCAGGCCTGTACCATGTTATTTGGTAGGGTAGGTGCATTAATTCCATTTTTGATTTAGGATATTTTCAACTTGGCATGCATTTATCAGGACATAGCCTTATTATAAGTCAAGAAGTGTCTGTGGTACCATCACCCATCAATAAGAGAGCCCAGGGAGTGCCCTTTGCACCTATCATAACTAAATT